AGCTGCGCTACCCGAACAACCACACGCACTACTTCTCGTGCGTCCTCCTCTACCTGTTCTCGGAGGCGCGCGACGAGCCGCTGCAGGAGCAGATCACGCGCGTCCTCGTTGAGCGGCTGATCGTGCACCGGCCGCACCCGTGGGGGTTGCTCATCACCTTCATCGAGCTCATCAAGAACCCGCGGTACGAGTTTTGGGCAAAGAACTTTACGCGCTGCGCTCCCGAGATCGAGCGGCTCTTCGAGTCGGTCGCGCGCTCGTGCATGGCGGGCGCGGCGCCCACCCCGGGCGGCTCGTCCGAGGCGGTGGCCTAGCTGCCGTCGCCTCGCAGGCTGGGGGGGGGGGGGGGTTGGTTCATGGGGGGGTCTCATGTGTCGCGCCGCTGCCCTACGTGTCGCACAGCGCGCCGATGAGCGGTGAGGAGAGCGGTGACGGGAGCGTCCGCCACGCCCACGGCCGGGTTTTGCTTTGGGGCGTGTTGAGCGTTAAGGTATAACTATGTATGTCTAGAAAGGAGAGCGCAAAGCTTTCGTCAGGGACAGGAAAAGGAATCGGAAACCGCGTATCGCGTAGGCCGGTCGCTCCCCCGTCTTTGGGCCCTGTTGAGTCGTTTCGGAAGTTGAAGTTGGCGCATCACAAAGAACCCAAATCCAACCCTGCCAACCGAGCAAGCCCATGGGGGACGCGAGGTCTTGCTCCACCTTCTCGGCGCTCGCGTCGCCCAACCTGAGAGCCTCATCCGCCATGCCGGGGCACATCTTGACCGGAGCCGGTCACATGTCCATCGTGCCCAAGACGGGGCACGGTCGACTCGACCGCGGCCGATGGCACCGGCCCAACGGCCGACCAAGATTTTACGCCTCCGAACGCCGGGCCGGTGAGGTGGCGGGTCGGGCGACACGGAAAATCGGTGGCTGACAACGACTTTTTGAGGCCATCGGTTTGAGGTCTGCAGACATTTTCTGGATGATCTCGCATTTCCCGAGGCGTAATCGCAGATCCAGACGGCCCAGCAGGTGGGCGCTGCAGGCGAGCCGCCTCACATCCTTCGCCCCCCCCGTCGCTCACGCTGCCTCTGAAGCACCGGACCACCCCCCCCGCGCCCAGGCGGCCTAGCTGCCGCGGGCTCCACCCACGCGGGCCACCATCAGCGCCGCCCGACGGCTCAGAACCTCTCTCTTTAGGTCCCACAAAAGGCGGCGAGCGAGCGGCGAGGCAGATGAATCGAGCTCTGGACGCATGCCGCGAGAGCTGTGAGGGTCGCAGCTCGGCCTCCATCTTGCCCGGTAGTGGCGCGTCGGCTTGCCGGCTCACGGGGGTCACTGCCCCTAGGTGCCGCCTCACCTCGCCTCTATGCACCCTTCACCCTCTAGCGCCTCACCCTGCCCGGTGCCGTGGTAGTGGCGGTGTCAGCCATGCTGGACCGGCGGCAGCGAGGCCGACGGGCGTGGCTGCGGCGACAACGGCGGCTTGGCCCGTGACGGCGACGGCGCTGACGGCAGAGCAGCTGCGGCCGGCACGGGCGGGTGCGGCCGAGCAGCGCGGCGCTCACAGCAGGCGGCCGGCGTGGCGGCGGCGACGGCGCCGCACGAGGAAGCGGTGGCGCAGCCGCGCATGACAGGTCCGGCGCGTGTCGAGCAGCGAGGTGGCGCGCCGCGCTGCCGACGCGCCCCCAGGCCGGAGGCGGCCGCCGCGTGCCGAGCCGCGGGCTGTTGGTGCTTACAGTCTGCGGCGGCGGCGCCGCCGCCGCGGAGCGAGGCAGCGGCGGCGGCGGCGGCGGCGGCGGCGGCGGCGGGGGATGCGGCGGCTGCACGTTGTGCCTCGAGGCGTCGCTCGCGGCGCTGGTGCGGCGCGTGGTTGGCTGACGAGGTTGCGCGCGCACGGCGCACGAGGGTGTAGTCACGTCCCTCGGCTCTCGCCACCGCTGTCGCCGCGCGCTCCGCGTTCGTTGTCGCCGGCGCTGCCCGCCTCGAGCCACTGCGGCCACTGCCGCGCGACGTTGCGCCGCGCCATGCTGGCCGTCGCTCTCTCGACGTTGTGGAGGAGGCTCTGTCCCACGTCGAGAGGAGGCGTTCCCGCGGTGATATTGACCCAGCTCTGTTGTCTCTAGGCTGCGTCGGCACGGGAGGCGCTGCGGGCGGGAAGGTGGAGCGGGCTGCGGAGCGGCAGATTAGTGGCAGTGGCGACGGGCGGGGCGGCAGCGAGCAGGGTGGCGAGTGAGACGTTGGAGAGGCGGGGCTGGGGAGGCTGGTGCCGGTGCCACTACAGGCGGTGCAGGTGCGGTGTGCTACTGTAGTGCTCGCTCACCGGAGCGAGCGCGGCGGTCGGACCGTCCTGGCAAGGGCCGCTGACCAGGACGGTCGCCAGGAGTCGGCTTGCACCGCGAGAGCGGCGAGGCGGGGGGAGAGGCTTGGTGAGGGTGTCCGCGGTGGTGCCGGTGTGTTAGTTAGGGGGAGAGGCGCGGGCCGGGGGAGCGGGAGGGGGTGGGGGGGTGGAAAATTTCGATACCCTAAGGTGCCCTGGTGATCCTGGGTTAGCATCGTCTCTTCTGAGCCCGCTCTTGATGGGTTGGAAGCGTTTTCATAGCGAATTCACGCCGATTTTGCCATACGGACGTCCCTGGCGCGCGCTCTTGAAGGCCTCATCCTGGGATGGTGCTCGCCAGCGGAGTTCATACAGTGCTGCGAGCTGGCCTAAGGCCGGACCTTACGACGGTCCAGCGCTGGGCAGCGTGATGGCTCTTACTCGAGGCGCGACATGAGTGTACGAGGACCTCAACGTCTCGGTTTGGCGAACCAGCATGAGGAGCGGAGCCGCTGTAGCTCCTCCCTGCAGCTTGCGCGTCGCGGTTTGGCCGACGTCCCATCCACCGCGCATACTGCGGCGGCTCTCCAGCTCAAGAAGGCTGCGCTCGACCACCACATCGCCCGAGTCAGTGGTCCGGACGCCCCGCTGAGCCTCGCGCCGCAGTGCAGCCAGTTTGCGCGGCCGTGATGCGCGAATCGAACCGGTGCGATGTTGTTCGGCACTCTAGATGGCCTGAACATGCTTGCGTTCAAGTCTTGAGGTCTGCGCTTAAACTTGAAAATTTAATAAAATCGGGTCCGACCGGCCTACGCGATAGTATCGGCAATCGCGGGGACGAGAACGGAACCCGGTGGTTTGTGGATTTTATTGCGGGAGGCACAGTCACGCACACACACGCCACAGGTCATTGCAAAATAAATCCGCTCTCAGAATAAGCGAGCGGTGTATCGTCGATGTGCCAAAGTCAGCGTTGCAGAGCGGCGAGAAGCGATGGGCGCCCCTCTAAACGCCCATAGAGCCACCGCCTCGCTCGCCCGAGCCGCTCCGACTGGAGGGCGCTGCGCTCGCCCGGCATCGAGCCGGTGCACCACCCGCCCCCAAACGCGGTCCCGGACCCCCCTCGTCGCCAGCCTGCGGCAGCCGCTGGCTCGACGAGCAGCACCCTCTCGGCCGCCGCCTTGGCCCGGCCGCCGCTGTCGCGGCTGTCGGGCTCTAGGTCGACGAAACGCTCGCTCGCGCTTCAGACACCCTCCCCCCCTCTGACGATAGGTGTCTGCGCCGCGCGCTCACCGGCAAAGAAGCACACGGCGGGCGATGGCGGCGCGCGGTGACGCTTATGACTCAATGGAAGGTCGCCCACATACCTTTAAGGCAGGCGAAAAATATTGATTCTCGCCCCTGTAACTATTGATATTGATTATTGACAGCATCCCCTCTAACTATTGACAATATATTGACATATTGATCGCCGATTTTAACCTCCAAAAGCACCAATGTCGACATTTGTCCCAAACATTGCCTAGATGTGGGCTGAAATCGAAAAAATCGCGAGTTCAAGGCGATTTTTAATGCGGTTTAAGCGATTTCGAAGCGATTTTGGCCCGTTTTTAACGATTTAGTTTTAGAGCCACTTTCAAGCCCAGGATGGACCCACCTGACGGTCCTGACCAGCCCAGGCCCAGCCTCTCCTCTAACTATTGCCATATATATTGATATTGATCGCCTCTCTAACTATTGGAGCAATATATTCAATATTTATCGCCTGCCTTACATACATTCCATCACCACAACGCCGTAGGCGGGTCGAGACTGCCCCCTCCACCCGCTCGCGCTTGCCTCCCCTACCCGACCGGGTCGGCTTCCTCTAGATGGCGGCCGATACACCTTCACTGCGGCCCTTCTGCCCGCGACAGCGGCGCCTGAGGGTGTGGGCTGCATGGCCTCTCGAGGCGGCCCGCGGGGCCGCGGAGAGAGCTCTCCTGAAAAGTGGCGCATGATTTTTTATTGGGGGTTTTCTTTCTTTTTTCTGCGAGATGGCTCCCTCTCGCGCGAACTCGTCGCGGGCCACAGCGTCCGAGCGCCTCGTGTTGATCCGTCTGTTCTCGACTGCCGTGTGCGTTATCGTGGGGCTCGGGTTGTGTCTTTGCGGGAACAATGGCGATACAAGCACTGCGAATGCAGCGGAGCGCGCCTCAGTGCGTGTCCTCTCGAGCGCTACGGAACAGGCTGATCTGTGTTCCGCATCTAGGCAGACGATCTCGTCCGCGAGAGCGCTCGGCCCGCCGGTGCGCGCCGCCTCGAGGAGCACGTCCGGAGTGCGTGTTGCGACGGCGGCGACGGCCGTGGCGGCGCCCACGGCGCCGGCAGTGATGCCTCCGAGGATTGCGCTCACCGCCGTTCGTGGGCCGATCGCCGACGTCAGGAAGAGCGAGACGCCCGTCCGGGGCGTCTGGGTCAAGCATGGGGGGGCCGCGGACTCGCGCAATTTCTTCTTTTGCCAGCAGGGTTCACGACATTGGTCGGTAGGGATGCTTTTGCGGCAAAGAAATTTCACAGGCGTTTGCTCCCCTCCGGTTCGCTCGTGGACGATATGTGTGTATATGGCGCAGAGTGGCGGCGGCAGCGGCAGCAGCGGAAGCAGCAGCGGCCGCAGTGGCAGCGGCAGCGGCGGGGGCAGCAGCAGCAGCAGCAGCAGCAGCAGCGACGACGAGGACCAGGAGAGGGCCAGCGGCAAAGGTGTGGCCGTAGCGGGCTTGAGTACCGTGGAGATAAAGGCTCTGGTCGAGCAAAAGCGGAAGCGGGTAGAGAGGATGAAGATGGAGAGGAGGGCAGAGAAGAAGAAGGCAAAGGCGGCTGCCAAGGCGAAGAAGGCGAGGGCGAAGCGGGAGAAGAGGGAGAGGAAGGAGAGGCGGCGGGAGAAGAAGCGGGTGAAGCGCAAGGGCGCCGAGCGCAAGGAGGCCGAGCGCAAGGAGGCCGAGCGCAAAGAGGCAAAGAAGGCCAAGCGCCGCGAGAAGGCTGCGGTGCGCGAGGCTTCCGTCGAGGTTCACGCGCCGCGAGGACAGCTGGCGGCGGCGGCGGAGGAGGCTGGTGCGGACGCGCTACCCACCGCCGGCGCAGCGGCCGCCGCCCGGCCGCACGCTGCGCCCGGCTCCTCCGCGGCTCCAGGACGGAGAGAAGAGCCAGAGCCTCTGCCGCCACGTCCGCCGCACGTGCCTTCGCCGGGCCGCCGAGAGAGCTCGAGGCGGCGGCAGGCGAAGGTGGTGGAGGAGGAGGAGGAGGGCGGGCACCACCACTCCGAACGCCGCGGCCGCGGCCGCCGCCGCCGCGAGAGTGACGGCGACAGCGTCTCGAGGCGGCGCAGGAGCAGCAGCGGGCGCAGGGGCGGCAGCAGGCGCAGGAGCAGCAGCGGGCGCAGGAGCGGCAGCAGCAGCCGTGACGGCTCGCGCCGGCGTCGACCTCTGCGGCGCGGCGGCTGGCCACGGCCCTCCCCAGAGGCGGAGAGGGTGGAGCGCTGGCTGCCTCAAGGCGGCGGCGGCGACGGCGGCGGCGGCGGCGACGACGGCGACGACGGCGAGGGCGGCGAGGGCGGCGGTCGCCAGCCGCGCAAGAAAAGGAACAGGCGCAGGAGGCGAGGCACGGGGGGCGGCGAGGGCGGCGGCGAAGGTGGCGAGGGCGGCGGCGAAGGTGGCGAGGGCGGCGGCGAAGGTGGCGAGGGCGGCGGCGAGGGCGGCGAGGGCGGCAGCGAGGGTGGCGAGGGTGGCGGCGAGGGTCATCACAAGCGTCGGCGAGGCCAGCCGACTCGGAAAGGAAGCCGTATCCCGGATGGAGCATGTCGCAGCCGGCTTCGGCGGCCGCGCTGACGATCCTGTGCGTGTCAAGGTACGACGGCACCGCAAGCGCCTGGCCAGCCAGCGCCACATGCAAAGAGGCCTCGTCGGCCGGCTCGTACACCGCGACCGTCCGCACGTCAAGCTCCGCGGCCGCGCGCAAGATCCGAACCGCAATTTCGCCGCGGTTGGCCACTAGCAGCGTGTGCAGCTGACGGCGGCTGCGACCAGCGAGCGGGGCTGCGGCCAGTCTCATGTCTGTGTACTGTGTACTCGACGAGAGAGGTCAAAATGAGAGAGCATCACAAGATGAGAAAACCAGGTTCGTTGTGAAGAGCTGGGGCGCGCCACCCAAGTGCCAAGAGCCTAGGTAGGTGCGGATCGGCAAGAGCGCAATCGATCTTTTTGCCCTCTAT